TTTGTATTCGACTTGATGATATGAATATGATATGATCTGTTTTTAAATCGAGCTACGAACATTTTAATTTATGCTATTTTATATAGGTACGCAAAATTTGCTAAAAAATTGTAGTATTATAAAAAACTCACACACAAACACTTATAACGTGCTTGCCATCAAGATTTAAAAGAGATCGATTCCCTCTAATTTCTAAGCTAATGAAGCTACACACGATCTACTGAGCGTAAATCTTCGATGTTATACACTTGTAGGAGAGAGACAACATAAGCTACTGTTATGTCCTCATTATTATTTTTTTTTTAATTTTTGATTTTAATCTCTTGAAATTATGCAAAAAAATATTTTCAAAAGCTTTAATTATAGGTATACTTTGATTAAATAATCAGCCATACATAACGAATTTGTGGCCGCAGGTGAAGGACCTCTCTATTGCATTACTGACATTACTGTACACGTGGACAAAACGGCATACTTTCATACCGATTACTTCACTGTAGTATTGACTAAAATAAGTATTCAAAATAAAACTTTGTAATTTCAAACATGTTTTTGAATAATTGTGAGAATAACTATCATATTTTSAGTGCAATAGCAATAATGAATAGTATTATGCTGTTATAACTAAATAGTCTTATAACTTATAAATATTTTACTATTAATGGAAAATGACGACGTATCTAGTTAACTAATACAATTTCTTTTGATAATTTTCAGATAATACTTCATCCGGTCGGTTCAAATGATATTTTCAATTACATATCGAGAAATGAATTGCCAGCAGAAGTAGGAGGATCAGGAAAATCTCATAGTTTCTTCAACGGTAAGGATCAGCTCCCACGTAATCGTTAATACACAATTTAAGAACTTCATCATTATTGTTTTTATTTATTAGATGAACTKTACAATGACTTGATCGATTTTCGTGATTTTTTCCTTGAACAGAATGAGATATTAAATAACCAAATGATGTATGTGAATCAACGACTTGATGAAGATGACGAATAAACTAACTATACCAATATTATATTATAAAGATAACAGAATTACTTATTTCATGAAACACATTTAAATTACATTTGGTTTTTTATACCTAGTATTTTTAATTATTTTAAAATGTAATTTAAATGTGTTTCATAATTAAAAATACTAGGTATAAAAAACCGCTAGTTAATTGTTATTAAGTAAAATTGTTTTATACTTAGGTAATTGTAAGTTGTGATAATTATTTTTATATTACTGTGTTTTTATCGATAGGCAACTTAACATATTTTAAAGTGAATTGGGTACACAAACTATAATAATAAATTATATTTAAGGATTTTAGGATTTTTCTTGTCATAATATTATAATTATATACTTGATTACAACGTTTAACTACGTCATAATTTATGTAAAATTTTAAAGTTGTCATTTATAGCTCAAGTAATTTTTTAATACCAGTATTATTTTGTATTTGTATTTTTAATTTATTTTAACCTAGATAAAGTTGAAATATATCGAGAACGAATCGTTTTACCGTTAAACTTTTCCTAGTCGACTGACTATTCTCATCAAACTATGTTTTATAATTTTATGTAGGATATATTTATAATTTTATAATACCTACTGGCTACGGTTGACAATGTACTAAATTTTTATTTCATAAGCATAATAGATACATTATAAATACATTATAGATACATTTTAATATTTAATGTCTTAGATAAACAATTTAGTGTTTAAAAAAAAAAAAGATCTAGGCAGTAGGCAAACATTAAGATAATACCTACATTTTTCTGAAGACCGTAAAACATAATACATTGTATTATTTTAATATAACAATAAATTATGACAGTATAGTCTCAATTTATTTTCAGATACTTTAATATTGTAGTTAAAAATATACATATCATGTTAAAATATGAAGAATTTTGTTTCTATCTTTGTAATTGTAATTGCAATTAGATTTTTTTTTTATTTAACAAATACGCCTAAACTACCGGAGTTATTGGTGTTTCAAAATACATAATATTATAGTTTACTTAATTGTTATAAAATAATAAATTGTAAATAGGTGATATAATAAGTTTTTAGAGAAATATGTTTACATTTTGTGTGATATTCTAAGTTTTGCTAATGCTATTATATTTTATGCAGAATGTTGGTCTCTTTAAGAAATTCTAAAAGTGACGATGTTCTCTCTTCGTTTGGTGCAAGTATTTCACACAGATTGTTGGGGAGCAACAGTTTGTGCCTGGCGTTTTTTGTGAGGGGTATTCAGTTAAAAGATGTTTTACTGTAATCGAGGTGTTACATGAGGTGCATATCCGTTGTTCCTTTTTGTTCATTAATGCTCACGAGTGTATAATGTGTGGCCTATTCGTAGTCTGTCGAGGATGATTTGATGTCTGRGTGGGAGTGACATATCGTGCATCTAAGGGAGGGTGGAGGATTTAATTTCTTTATTATTAATTGTTTTAAATTATATTTACTATTGTATTTGAATCATTTTTCCTCATTCACTTATAAGAACCACAGTTTAAACAAAATTATTTACGATTTGTTAAAAACAATAACAGATTAAATTGATAGGTATATGTCTGAATAAAAAGAAATAAAGATTATTATTATTAAAATTAKCTAATTTGATGTACAATATTCAATAATATAGTAAAACATGGTAGCCGAGAGAAAGTAGTTACGTTATACTTATCAGTAATTACAAAAATTCGCCTAGGTTTAAAAAAAAAATTAATTTCTGAACGGATCGATAAAATAACAAAATATAATTTTGGTTTTACAAGATGTGTGATTTTT